ACCTAGAGCGCGTGGCACACGGTACGGCACAGAGGGGTGGGCCTGGAATGCGTGCGGATTCCGGCGCCCCAGAGCTACCCGCCCTGCCTCCCTCGCAGGCTCCCGGCCTTCGCCAACCTACAGGAGGCGCTGCTGGAGAACATGATCCAGAACATCCTGGTGGAGGCCAGCCGCGGGGAGGTGGTGCTCACCTCGCGTCCGCGCGTCATCACCCTGCCGCCGCTCAGCGTGCCCAGGTGGGGCGCGGGAGGGGCAGCAAGGGGCAGGTAGACTCGGCCCCAAGCCTCGTCCCCACTTCTGGCTGGGACTTTCTGTCTTCCAGGATTCCGAACCCGGACGTGCTGCCGGCCCAGCAAGCGGAGGAACACCACCCGGTGGTGCCATCTCCTACCTAGCCTTTGCAGATGCCCGTGCCAGCCCCCACGACTTGCCGTCCTAGGTTTCACCTGGTCCCCTCCCCAACTCCCTGCCAGTAAAGCACCTAGCCTTTTTTCTAAATCTACCTTGACATTATTTCCCCACCGAGGGGAAAACGCGCGCGCTCTTGGAGGTGCTGATGGTGGGGGCAGCCCGGGTGCACTGCAGCAAATCGGCGGGTACTTAGAGCCTGGGAGGATGCACTCCCCTCCACCCGGCAGCTGGGGAGGCTGCTTGCCGCTCGCTGCTGGGCGCTGGACCCTGTCTGGCCAGTGGAGGGCGCTCCGGGTAGGGCCTGGCTGGCCTTTGCCCAAGCGTAGTTTGGTGGACAGGAACTGAGAGCCAGGCGGGGAGAGCGAAGCAGTTGGCCACAGGGTGGGGCAGCCCTTCCCCATGCATCTGCCCAAGACCCGGCACCCCCAGGGCCAGCCTTTTAACATCTACGCAGCTCTAGGTGCTAAGAAGGTAGGAAGGAAGGAGAACTCAGTGTCGCTGCAGAAGGCCAGGAACTAGGTCCTGGGGCGTGGGTCCAAGTCACCGCTGGACTATGGGCCACAGACTCTAATAAGCGACTCTGACTGTGAATCAGTCCCCAGACCAAGGAACATCCGCCCTCCCTATCCGTTCCCCCCTAACCCCCGCCTGAGAGCCTCTGTCCTCTCCTCCTGGGCTCCTCCCTCCCAGAGGCAGGTGGGTGGAAAAGTGACATCTGGTGTTGTTCCAGAGGCGTCCAGGTCCTCAGCACCCTCCCCTCCACCTCCTCTGCCAAGGCCTCCCAGGAGCTCAGGTCTCAGAGCCCAGGCGGAGGAGGGGAGGGGAAGGGGAATGGGTCGCTCCACCTCCATGAGTCAATATTTGCCCCGAGCAAACGGGCGCTCGGACAGGTGTGAGTGTGAGTGTGTGTGTGTGTGTGTGTGTGTGTGTGTGTGTGTGTGTGTGTACGCGCGCGCGCGCGCGTGCCTGGAGGCGGGGACTGAACAGGCAGTATAAAAGCACACTGAGTCTGGGCTCCCGGACAAGCTCCAGGGCGTGGGCTGGGGACGAAGCCAAGCAGGGCTGGGTAGGGCGGAGGGGCCTGGAAAACCGGGTGGAGGGTGGCCAGGAAGGGAGGGGCGGCCCAGGAGCGCACCTGTGGTGACCACAGCGGCCGCCGACGTGTCAGCCGCAGATGTGCTCAGGTGAGGGCGGCGGCTAGCGGCGCGCTGCGCGGCCCTGCGCTCGCAGAAGACCCGGACCAAGAGATCACCGAGGGTCACCGCCAGGCCCCGGGCCCTCCGCTCCCGCCCCGCGACGAGCCCCTCGCACAAACCGGACCTGAGCGTTTTGTTCGTTCGGCTCGCGTGAGGCAGGGGTGGCCTCTCAGCACCCGCCCGGGGACCCGGTCTGATCGTCAGGCAGGCACCTGCCGCCGCCACCGCCACCGCCACCATACGGGTCAGAGAGGCCATGCTGTGCTCCAGTGAAGATCCGGCTCCCATCCGGCCCGCCCCGCCCTGCCTTGCCATGCTTCTGGGCTGCCTGGCTCTATTCCGGGTAACCCGGGCTGAGCAGTCTTCACCGGTGGCAAAGGGGGCTGTGGCCCGGAGCAGAAGCCCTTCTGGAGGTGGAAACCTGGATTCTAGTCTGGCTCTGTCCCTGCGACTTCTGTGGCCTTGGGCAAGTCATTTCCTGGCCTCTTGGTTTTCCCATTTGCACAGAGAAGGGGTTGATCTGACCTCCCACCGGGACTAGGGCCTCTCTAGCCTCCATGTCCTGGTTTCTGGGCTCCTAGCCATACTTTTGAGCCACCTGACCGGGAAGATGGAGGCCTTCAAGGGGTTGGAGCTGAAGCTGTGTGGTGTGGAAAATCTGGGCGGGGAGAGCTGAGGACCACGGTGGAGACTCAAATCCACTCCTCAGATCTCTTTGGTGCTGCTGACATCCTGAGATTTCACTCCCTGCCATCTCCCTGGTCCCTCTTTCAGTCTAACCACATCTGAGACACCCGGTCAGACTGACTGAAAAGGACAAGCACAGGGTTTGGCAGCCCTTGCCTGACAAGCTTCCCCAGGGACAGCAGTTCACCACCTTTCCAAACTTCATAATCCCAAGGTCTATGACTTCGGTCAGCTGGGTTGGGGTGGGTCTCCACAGCCCTCCGCTCCAACAGTGGCAACTCCAGGAGATGGGAGCCCAGGTCAGAAGTCGCTCCAAATTGGATGTTCCTGGAGGTGCTGATTTGTCCCTTCCACCACCACCCACTCTACTCCCCACCCCCCAACTACCTAGAGACCCCACAGGATCTGCTGAGTCCTTGGCACAGAGAGAGGAGGGGGGAGGAGAGAGATAGCTTTGACAGATACTAGGTAGGTCTGGGCAGAGGGCAGACTGCAGATGGGCTCTGCATGGAGCAGCTCCAGGGGTGGGGAAAAGTCCATGGATCCCGGGCTGGGGTGTTGTAGCCTCCATCCTGGTCTCCCTGACCTGATCAGGCTTCTGTCCTGGGCCCAGCCCTTTACTCCTTGCCTGGCACTGAATGATTTACCTGCCAGGGTAAATGGAGTTGGCACACCTTCCCTGTGTCTTGGAGGGCTTCCTCTCCCTTCCCCCAATCATAGCAGAGCCTCAGCTGGGATTCCAGATTCTGGGGCTATGCAACAAAGAGGACCCCTGGAATGACCCCCCAGCACACACGAAGGAGTCTTTTGGGGGAATGGTGGCAGGAAAAATGAGGCCACCCAGTGGGCTGGGATCTGTCCTGGTCACCAAGAGTTGCTGCCCCTTCACCCCAGGGCCTAATTTTCCCAATATTCACCCCCACACACACCAATCCCACGACCCACATTTCCTGGCCATTACCAGAGATCTGGCCTCTTCTGCCAGGTCCCTTCTCCCCTGCCGGGCTGAGGGGCGGAGTCTCCAGGCGCCAGGCAGAACTGCAGGTGCAGGGCTGAATGTAGGTGGGGGGGTACTCAGCAGCTGGTGTGCGACGCGGTCCCCTTCCCCCTCCTGCTCAAAGCTGGAGCCTGCTTCCTGTCGTCCCTGTCAGCACCCTGGGTGGGGGAGGGACAAGGTAATGGGGGAGGTGGAAAAGGGATGAGCAACTGGTGTGTAGCAGTGGTGGAAACAACGAACAGCTGAAGAGAAATGGACAAGGAGGAGGAGGAGAAAGAGACCAGAGAACATAGGCAGGACACAAGGCAATATGAGAGCCACAGGGGAGACCCCAGGCCCCCGGTGGCCGCGGACTCCACAGATAGTGAGAACAAGGCCAGAGGCAGAGACACCAGAGAGAAACCAGGGAAGAGGAACAGACACAGACACACAGAGATGATGTGAGATAATAAGAGATGTACACTGCAGAGAGATGGAGGGATTTGGAGATGTGGGGTTAGAGATCGGAGTAACCAGAGGTGGAAGGCACAGTGTGCATGGAGGAAGGTGGAAGCTGCAGAAACAGCCCCCCTTCCAGCCCACACTGGGATGGGAATTGCCCCAACAGAGGTTACAGAGATGGCTTCTAGGTGGGCTGCTAATGGCGACAGCCAGGACTGGAGATGCAGGCGGGTGATGGGCCTATCTTGGGAACGCATCTCTTCCCATGAAAAGACAGAAAGTGAAGAGGGGCAAGACCCAGGACATGAGGGGACACCGAGGGCCATGAGCAGTGAGGGGCACAGATCTGGCTGCATTTCTCCCCAGTTCCCTCTTGGCCACAGCTGGACAGGTTAACAGCTGTGGCGACTGCCCTACCCCCACCCACTCTGATGATTCTGGCCCTGCCTTGGAACTTCTGGTCTTGGCGGCCGCCCAGGACCTATGTGAGAGTGGGGGGACCTGGGAGTGGAGGCACCGGGAGCGGGGTGGCTCATACCCAGGTGCTAATCCCCATCCGGCCAAGGCGGTACCAGAGCCTCGCTGACCTTCTTGGAGATTAGTCCCCATGGAGACAGCGGCAACTCGCCCCCTCACTCTGGCTAGGCCA